GCCGAGGGACGACCGCTGTTAAGAAAAAACCTTTTTTCTATATTTTTTGCGATGTTGCTTTGACCAGGGATTGAACCCAGGCGTTGCGGAGTGGAAGCGCGCACTGCTTACCACTACACCTCATTACTTCTTTATTTATCCCTCGCTCTCCTTCTTTGGTAACTTGATTTTTTTGTAACAGACCAGGCTTTAGCACAAACGCAAAAATTTGGCACAGAACCTGTTATTTTTTTAATTTTTCTTCTGTTAAGATTTTATTTTTTAGTTTTCTTATTAATAAAAAAAAGCTGAAACGATTAATTATTATGTCAGAAACTATCAGTCCTATCGGAAAGTGATGTATATGTGGTTTATGGAGAATTTTAATTACTTTGATTTGACGTTACTCATACGCCACGTACACCTGAGTAGCACGCTTTTCTGCTCATATTTCATACAAAAAATCTTTGCGCATTTTCATTTGACCCCTCATTACTTCTTTATTTATCCCTCGCTTTCCTTTATTAGTAACTTGATTTTTCTGTAACAGAACAGGCTTTAACACAAATGGTAAATATTTGGCACAGAACCTGTTGTTTTTTTAAAGTTTGATTTTTTCTAATTTTTTCATTAAAAAATAAAAAAGCTGGAATGATTAATTAATTTGTGAGAAACTATCAGTCCTATCGGAAAGTGATGTATATGTATATGGTTTATGGAAAATGATATTAGCTTTTATTTGACGTACCTCTGTTTAAGATTGTTAAATTTGTTCGTAAGATATACGTGATTATGTGGAACCACTTTTTGTTTTCAGCTGAATAACGGTAAATTGCAAATATCTCGAAAACATATCCAAAGAAAATAAAAATTTAGGGGCTTTCATATAACTATAGTTTTGTAATAAAATTGTTTTATTGCAGCGATAAGCCCATATTTATGTAGGCCGCTGGGGTGTAGTTGTAAGCAGTGCGCGCTTCCACTCTTAAGCACCTGGGTTCAAGCCCTTGTCAAAGCAACATCGCAAAATATATAGAAAAGGTTTTTTCTTAACAGCGTTCGTCCATTAAAATTAATTAAAATTTTTATAAATCAGTTTTTATACAAACATATGTATGTATTTGGGTATTTAGATTTTACTTAAAAATCGGTATGTACATACATGCATATTTAATTAAGCTTAAAATTGTACTTCCTCACTCATGTACTTCACTTCATTGACTGACTTCAACTTCGCTGCAAATTGAACAAAGCAAAACATGATTTTTATGCGAGACAAATTTCCACAGAAACTAACGGTAGAAAAAGATTTTTTTGATATTCATTCTATTTTTCAGCTGACTAGGATGCAGCATTCTACTTTGCATTCCCCGAAATGAAGCAAAGAAGCGAAATAAACCAAAAATATTGTAGGACATTCTACTTTGCATTCCCTGAAATGAAGCAAAGAAGCGAAATAAAAAAAAAATATTGTAGGACATTCTACTTTGCATTCCCCAAAATGAAACAAAGAAGCGAAATAAATAAAATATTGTAGGACATTCTACTTTGCATTACCGACAATGCCTAATAGAAGCGAAAAAATTCGAAGGCATTACAACGCTATGCCTTCTAGAACACGTTACCACTAAAAGCGATTACCTATTTTTTGCTGGGTCGGCTCCGCACTCCGAACGCAAAATTTACCGAAATTTATCACTTTGAGGATAAGCAGAGATAAAATCGTACGGGATTACCCGGCAGTTCTAGGTGTCCAACGACGCACTTAGATACCTATCAAAATTATAGTTAAAAACTAAAAACACGCTTTTATTACAACAAGAACTAAAAAGTATAAAATAATCTCTAGATATAGCGATTTCGTTTAAGAAGGATAGGAAGTTTCCTAACTTGATTTAATTTTACTTTTTTGAATTAGCTAAAAATAGAGTTAAAGTGATTGGCCCGTAGTCATAGTCAAAATAAAGTCCACTGTAAAGTTAGTTGCAGTTTTTTGACATAATTTCCAATGGGATACCTGTAAAAAAAACTGCAACAAACTTTACAGTGGACTTTATTTTCACTATGACTACGGGCCAATCACTTTAACCCTATTTTTAGCTAATTCAAAAAAGTTAAATTAAATCAAGTTAGGGAACTTCGTATTCTTCTTAAACGGAATCGCTATATCTATAAATTATCTTATAATTTTTAGTTCTTGTTGTAATAAAAGCGTGTTTTTAGTTTTTTAACTATAATTTTATTTTCTACTTTTTAGTCTTTTAAAATCTTGCAATTAATATTGTACCGTCTGTGTATTTCTCATTCTGTCCATTTCTTCCAATGTGACCAAAATTTTCCGCACCCTGCTTTTTAGCTACACTATTTACTTAACGGGCTAGATTTGACCTTAAGAAACAAAATTTTCAATATATATTTATATATATTTTAATAGGTAATACACATATTCTGAATATAAACCAAATCGGTGCACAGATGCCGATTTTTTAATTATATAGACTCACGCGCCACATAACTGCCAAAATTTTTTGTGTAGTTATTTCTTTTCATGTAAGCAATATGCATTCTAAATGTGAACTTAATCGGATCATAAACACGGTTATCCAAATATCTCGACTCCTGCGCCACCTATCGGCAAACTTTTTTGTGGATTTATTTCTTTTCATATAAGTAATATATGTTATAAATATGAACCAAATCAGACTATAAATGCGGGTTTTAAAAATATCTCGACTCCTGTGCCACCTAGCGGATTAAGTCACTTTTATATTGCATTGTCCTCGAGTTTTGAGCTACGTTTGAAGTTTCAAGTCTGTAGCTCATCGGGAAGTTGGTTAGATATTGACTGCAAAGTGCCAGGACATACAAAGATACATACATACAT